TTTTTTTGAGTTGGGGTTTCACTCTGTTGCCCAGGCTAGAGGCCAGTGGCATGATTATGGCTCACTGCAACCTTGAGTTCCTGGGCTCAGGCAATCCTTCTGCCTCAGCCTCCCGAGTAGCTGAGACTATAGGTGTATAGCCACCACATCTGGCTAATTTTTGTTGTTGCTATTGTTGTTATTGTTGTTGTTGTAGAGATGAGATCTTGCTGTGTTGCCTAAGCTGGTCTCAAACTCCTGGGTTCAAGCAATTCTCTCGCCTCAGTCTCCCAAAGTGCTGGGATGTGTCACTGCGTCCAGTCCAAGTAAACAACACATTTTTTTAAAAAGAATGATTTTATAAAAAAAAAGATGAATCAGAAGATCATGGAGGGGCATTTAAAAAGATCTCTTTTTCAACATGGTTTAAGTGCCAACGTCATGGACGCTGTTCTTTCTGGTTACCTGCTTCTCTGATCGTTTGCTCCCTAGCAGCGAGCTATGTCGGAAGAGTCTGAGTGGTCAAAGAAAACTTGCTGGAGGATGCAGTGACTACACTAAGGCCAGCAGACTGAGAAGGAGTTAACAAGGCTGATGGGGGTAGGAGGGAGTTCTTCAGACAGAGGAACCGGCAGACTGAAAAACCTGAAGAAGAGGCAGAAAGCACTGGGAATGTGAGGACGTAGAGGCACTACAGTATTGCTGGGTTTTTATTTTTCATTTTTTTCCCCAGCTTTAAATATTTTATTTAAATTTTTATATTCATTGATTATAATTAGTATCTTGCCTTTTAATTTTAATAATTTTGAATTTTGTTTAATTTTTATTTTAAAGTTATGGGGTGCAATTCAGGGTTAGGCATATAAAGGGTAAAAGAAAAGTGGTAATAGATGATTTTGAGAAATAGACTAAACTTTGAAGGTTGAACCAACAAGGCATTTGTAATATATTCTAAGTACAATGTCGGGGAAGCCACCAAAAGGATTTTAAGCAAGATGGTGACAGTGATAACAGGCACATAGATAAGGTGCATAAATAATGGCAAATCTTGTTTGGTTTTGTTCGTTTGTTTTTTATAGTCAGGGTCTTGCTCTATCACTCAGGCTGGAGTGCAGTGACCCAATCATAGCTCACTGCAGCCTCAAACTCGGTTGCTTCATTCTCCCACGGAGCTAGGATCACAGCCATGAGCCACCACTCTACCTTTTTTTACTTTTAGAGATGGTGTCTCACTATGTTGCCCAGGTTGATCTCTAACTCCTGGCCTCAATGCTCCTCCTGCCTTGGGCTCCCAAAGTGCTGAGACTACAAGCATGAGCCACCGTGCCCAGCCTATTTTTTGCATATGTGCGAGGAAATATATAAGCTCTAAGATAAATAGATATTACCAATTTATTTTTACAATAACTTATGAAGTAGACATTATTTCTCCCATATTTAAAGATGAATAAGTTGAAGTTTAGAGTGAATAAGTAACTTGCATAGAAGAGCACACAGCTATTAAGTTACCAGGCCAGAACATAAAGCAAAATTCCTAAACACATCATATTTTCTCACTGATTGAATAGGATTGAATACTATGTTCTCTTTCTTTAAGAGATATTTGAATGGGGGAAAACTACTAAGCTAGGAGTGGTTCTCAAAGAAAACTTTTCACCGATTAGATCCAATAGAAATCCAATTTCTCAAATAGTGTTAGCATTCTTGCTATTGAATAAGAGCTACCTAGCACGGAACTCTGGACTACATGTGAAATGAAATGAATATCCAAGATCCAGTCTACAAGTAAAGAGCGAACCCAATTAGTTAATTTGATTAGTCTGCCTTATCTTTATGTAAACATTTAAGTACAATCTAAAATACTCAGTACTCTATATATGGTACAAAATAAGGCTTTTAGTGTTATCTGAAGTTTCAGTTTGAACTGATCAAAGGCAACTGAAAGTTCTGATTCAAATTGCAATCTCTCCATATGAACAGGGTATGTTGATGATAAGATCTGAACCTTCAGTTGTCATTTAGTCTAGTCTCCAGTTTGGGATCACCTGGAATCCTCTTTTCCTGTCCTCAACTTCTACAAAATTCCCTCACACTCATTAACAAGATTCAACCTCATATAAGTTGCTACATATCAAAAGGGGAGTAAAGATAAAGGTATTACATTCACACAATGCGTAATATTCAAAAGCATCTCTGCTTAGAACAGGAAAAGAGCATGTATGGAATGCCACGTACATAATTCGGATGTTTCTCTCCACAATGTCCTCATTGGGATCCTCAGTAGAACGAATGATCCTGGAAGTAATCCGGACACACTTACACTTGTTGTCAACAAGAACGATCCCTTCATCCTCATCTCGGGCTTGAAAGGACAAACATATTGCAAAGAAAGGAAAACAAAAGTCAACTCATATATTTTGTACTGAGTTAATTTATCTTTCTTGGCTGCAGAAAAAAAATGTAATGGTTGATCTGTCTCGGCTTTCTCCATTTGCTAAGTGGAATCTCACTTCGTAGTGAATGAAATCCAAATGTATTCTGCAAGGGATGTTCTCTTTTTTCCTTGGACCAGTCAATGAGAATCCGAGCTGAGAGAATTTCAGTTTTCATCTAATGCTTCTAATAGAGTTGCAGCTCTCTGAATGGTGTAGTCTTGGAAAAATAGTGCCAAACTGAGAGAGAAAACAAAAGCCTAGACTGGATTTCTCCTGACCAAAGCAATAACATTTAAAAGTGAACAAAAAATAGCACTAGCCTTTATAAACCCAGTTTGAAATGTCACATCCTTCCTGAACTCACATTTGCAATAAACAATAAATAAATAAATATTGTCCAAATTGTATTCGAATTATGAACAGGCATGTTTTTTCTCAAGATAACCTTATTTTGTAAAACCTATAAATATTCTCCACCATAACTTTCCTAAACTAATTATATCCTTTTTCATAATAACAAGCAGGTTATCATGGTACAATGATTCAAGAAAATAAAATAATAAGGGCTCTATTCATTAATTTACCTTAGAATTATTTAAAAAGTAGAGTATATATAGATGTAAAGTGCTATAATTTTACACGAGTAACTTAGAAAATGTTGTGATGTACAAGCTCAATTGAATATGTCTGTACATAGCAAAAAAAAATGAAGAAATGATTACACAGATGATCATTAAAGCCTCAACTTTGAGTGTCAACATTTATTGTCTAATATGAATAATAAATAGACAAAGAGGCCTGGTAAGTGTTGCAGAAATAAAGAAAATTTCTTATTATATAGACTTGAATCAGTTAATGTATTTTAAAGAGTTAATAATAGATCTACTTAATAGGGTCGGGTCTGGTGGCTCACACCTGTAATCCCAGGACTCTGGGAGGCCAAGGCAGGAGATTGCTTGAGCCCAGGAGTTCGAGATCAGCCTCGGCAACATAGAAAGACCCCCATTGCCATGAGCATGGTGGCATGTGCCTGTGGTCCCAACTACTCAGAAGGCTGAGGCAGAAGGATCAATTGAACCCAGGAAGTCAAGGCTGGTGTGAGCCATGATCATGCCACTGCACTCCAACCTGGACAATAAAGAGAGGCTGCAACTATAAAAAAAAATTAAAATAAAAAATATATACTTAATAGTCCTAATTAAACAATAATAATGACATTAATGTCTTCTTTTATTCTCATAATTTTAGCTAAATGAACTTTTAAAAAAACCTCTTCCCATTAAGCCTCACCTCAAAAAACAAAGATTTAACACATGAATTCAAGTTATAAAGGTTAAATGATCAGAATAGATACCATTGTAACTGGAAGTTCAATCATTCCTGAGATGATTCCCAGAGCAGAGAAAACCTAATTGCGGTATTTCAGTCTTAGTGATAAGAGCCATTACAAAAACATTTAAAGACCATTGTTATTGTATTTATAATTGCTTTAAGTACTTTATAATACATTATATGCCATTATTCATACGTTCTTAGTAAATCTTCTGACACAAGATTGCATGGTATTGGAAAAGAAACATTATGGAGTCAATCCAAGATAATTATATAACTCTTATTAACGTTCTGAAAGGAGTAAAATTACTTAAATGGCATCCTCTCCCTACCTCTGTATCCTTGATTCTTAAGTGTTCTCCTCAATGAAATATAAACGAGCATGTAATGACAGACCAAAAAGTATAGATTAAGAGTTTTTTAAAAAGCTGGGTGCGGTGGCTCAAGCCTGTAATCACAGCACTTTGGGAAGCCAAAGCGAGAGGATTGCCTGAACCCGGGGGCTTGAGACCAGCCTGGGCAAGTTGGCAAGACTTCGTCTCCACAATAAATCCAAAAATTAGCCGGGCGTGGTAGCACGCGCCTGTAGTTCCAGCTACTAGGAAGGCTGAGGCAGAAGGATCACCTGAGCCCAGCAGGTCGAGGCTTCAGTGACCGTGAGCATGCCACTGCACTCCTGCCTGGGCAACAGAGTAAGACTCCAACCCAAAAAAAGAAAGAAAAGAGTTAAGGAAATGAGTAAGTCTTACATAGAAAATGTCCATAGTCTATTATGGCATATAATTATTTTCTCATCAGAAACCTAGGAAGAGACTATCATTATGGTTAATATATAAAAATATGAGGTAGCCTAATACATCTATAAAGAATGTACAAATACTTTCAATTCCCCAATACATAGATTCTAACATTCTCTCTCACCAGCAGGCAGTATTGTTATTTGGAACTTGTTATTCAGGACTGTACTTTCTTTATTCCAAGAGCACCTGACACATAATAGGTGCTCAATAAATATTTGTTAAATGTAATTTAATTCATTCCAAACAAATAAGAAAATAGACTTAACAATGCAGGATAGATATGACCCTAATGAGTTTACTAAAAAGTGGTTCCTTTATGCAGGCAAAATAGGATAGCAGTTAGGTGTGTGGGCTATAGGGTCAGATTGCCTGGGTTCTAGCTACCCACTTGCTTGCTGTGTGATCTTGGGTAAGTTATTACACCTCTCTAAGTCTCAACGGGTTCAACTGTATGTTGGAAATAATAATAGTGCCCGTCCTCATATAGATATTATGAGAATTAAATGGAATATAGTATGTAATCAGTTAGCAAAATGCCTAGGACATAGTATTCAACAAGTGATAGCTATTTTATATAAAGGAGGTCCCCAACTTACAATGGGTTGATTTAGGATTTTTCGACTTACAATTTTTCTGCTTTACAATGGTATGAAAGTGATAGGCATATGTGTGCTCCTTGACTTATGCTAGGGCGGCTTTCCCTACAAATTCATCATAAGTTGAAAGAAAGATACCCAACTTATGATGTGTTTGTTGGGAGCAAGCCCCAGTGTAAGTTGAGGAGTTTACATGTATGTTTATAGACATGTAAACATATTTATAGATATATGTATATGTACAGCTATTATATAGGCTTTATTACTGATAGTTTTAAATTTAAAATATTAAAGTCATTATTCTTAGTGCTGAGTTAGCATAAAAATAGATACATACGACTATTCTTAATTACATTTTGGTCATACTCTGCCTTGAGACAAGAACCATAAATTCAATAAGTCTTAAAACAATTAATCCAGTCAAATAATTTATGTGCCCTTCTAGATGGAAATAGTTAATACTGTACTTTTATGTTCAGAGTGTATTCTATTCTCTCCAGTTGCTTGAAAGATCAATAAACAAAATAACAGAAGTTCAGTCATCAAGTTATAGGTAATCTATATAATATTAAACATTGTTAAAGTGTCATAATAAATTTGTGGGCTCAGATCCAGGAATGCTGTTAAATCTAATCCCCACTCTCTGGGGAAATAAAATCCCAATACATTCTCTATTGTACTTATAGTAATTATTACTTCATTTCTCCAGAATATTAATTAAAGAGACTCAAGGGGAAAATTACTGATTTTTAAGATTAAATATAGACATTCATATAAGAAGGCTATCTATGGTTGCCAGAAGTAGCTTTCTTATTCTCTAGATTTTAGTAGGTAAATGGCTAAGAGAAAAGAAAAGGGAATATGAAGAATCATACAGAATCTTATCTGTGTAAAGATTAGTGCCCTATAAAGATTAAAGTATGTTAGAAAAAAGTGACTGTCTAACTGGTCAACCAAAGAATAAACATAAATTGCCAAAATTAAAAAACAGATCTATATGGTTTTCCTTTCATCTGGGTTCATTTTCTAAATACCACATACCTGTCACAAGAACAGCCTTAACAAAAATGACCAAGACGCCACAGAAAAGCAAATGGTTCTTCATCTTGACTTCTTGTCTTTTGAAAAACCAGAGCAAAAAGTCAGGGTTAAGGTGTGAGATCTATAAGGGGTGTGCAAATGACGGTGCTTCTGCTTTCTTAAAATAACGCTCCAGGCCCCTAACAAACTAAAAACAATCACAACTGCGGTTGAAGTCTAAAGTTTAAAGGCTGCACTGGAAAAAAATGTATGAGTCACATTTAAGCATGTTCTTCCAAGACAACCCCCAAAATCCATGAGTTGATACAATTATTTTTATTTTGCATTTACACTATATATAAATGTGTAAACCAGAAGACTAATAATAACTTCAAGGCAAGAATCCATTAAGAATGTTTAAATAGAGGTTCTCAACTTTATACCTAGATATACTCTTATTAGTCCTCAAATCAAATTCTGACATTTATTGTGCCTAGAACAATAAATGAAGGGAAGCGTAAAAGAAATAAATGAAAACCTTTAAGGTCCCAGTTGTGTCTTATGTCAATTTTTTCTACTAGTCCTTAATTAATCAAGCTGCCCATTTAAATATATGTATATATTCTGATTACTTTTTGTTATTTTATAAGCTCAAACACAGAATTGGAATCAGAAACCGGTGGATACTAGATGGACCCGTTGCCATGTTTTAATTTGATAGCATTTAGGGAGTCCTTGGGTTTACCCATCTAATAACACCTTTCAGAATTGCAAACTCATGAGATGATTTTTATTTGAGATGCCTCAACAGAAACTGAATTACACAGTATTTCGTGTACATTTTTTTCTCTTAATTTTTGTCAAAAAATTTTTTTTAAAACTGAGCTTTTGGACAGAGAATCCTCCTACCCCCACCCTAACATGCTATAATTTCCCAACTCTTTGGCAGCATTGGTTCCAAGAATATATTGGTTACAGTACTGTGCAATAGCATCAAATCTGTCTTACTTTTGGTTCTAGGCTCTAATTTTTGAAGGGCCTCCCAGAATTTTCAGAGGTGATAAAAAATAATTCAGTGCCAGGCACAGTGTCTCTTGACTATAGCATAGCATTTTGGAAAGCGGAGGCAAGAGGATTACCTGAACCCAGGAGTTAGACACCATCCTGGGCAACATGGCAAGATCTCGTCTCTACAATAAATCAAAAACTTAGCCGGATGTGGTGGCATTCCTGTAGTCCCAGCTATTCAGAAGGCTGAGGCGGAAGGATCGCCTGAGGCCAGCAAATCGAGACTGCAGTAGCCATGATCATGCCACTGAACTCCAGCCTGGGTGACAGAGTGGCACTTTGACTCAAAATAATAACAATTATTTTTTCATTCAGGATCATAAGTAAATTTCATAACTAGAATAAGAAATAGCAGAAAGAAAGAGACAGTAAAGGCTAATACATAATTGTACTCCTTCAAAGAGTATGTTATAAAAGTCTAGCAAGAACAAAGTGCCAGGCACTAGAATATACAATGTTACTATACTGTTAAAGCTTATTCTCATTTTCATTTCTACCATCAGTAGGACTTTAAAACTACCTGAGTTTAAGAAAAATATACTGGAATCACATGAACAATCTTGTCTAGTAAAAAAAAGAAACAGATCTGAAAGCACATTATTTTAGTTTGTGGTCAGGATGTCAAAACAAATATCAACCATTCTAAGGTCTTCTCACTCCCAACTGAAGTTTCTAAATAACTAATGTAGTCTATCACTTAAAAAAAAAAAAGAATAACTAAAAGTCAGCTGGATACTTTTTAAAAGTCATTATTTCCTTGAAAATAAACTCTAGGCTGGACTGCCTCCCCAAAGCAAGTTGGATAAATCAGTGGGGACAAATTAAAGCTTCCACCAAAGCTTTTTTAAATATATATATTTACTAACCTAAAGAAAAGCTCTAGATTTGGTGCTTCCATTCTTTCAAACTTTCAGTCTTACACTACTACTATGTAAACCATGTATCTAAAGTAAATTATTTTAATAAAATAAGGTGGGCACTACACTTGTGTCACCAGGAAAGAATGACCTATGCCAGCAATATAAAGTCTGGACCAGTCTTTTGCCTTACATGCTCTAGGGAGCTTTTGTCTAGAATCACGTAGAATACTAGTCAAAATATGAATTTCCTGGTCATACTCATTGTCACAATTTCTGGAGTTGTGGTGTTAGAACAAGTATTTTCAAAAAAGCATCCCAATGTTTCTTTCTTTTTTTTTTAACCATTAACCAACTATATGTACATACAACAGATCCCAGATTAATTTTTAAACCATTTCTTTTCCAGTTTTAGTTATGCTCTTCCCACTAAAAAACATGAAATGGGAATAGTAGAAACCTTTACATGTGAATTAAGTGATTGAGAGCTTAACCATGGGTTCTAAATTCTTAACCAAAAATAGGCTTATTTTTCTACACTCATAGTTAAGATTCATGCAGTAAGAGCTTCCATGGTTGACACAACTGGATGAAAGAGCTCTTACAGGTGATTTAGTCTTATCGTCATGACTCCCACTCAAATTTTGTTTCAATTTCCTATACAACAGACATCTGAGTTCAGCGTTTGTTTGAACACTATCTGAAATGGTCGACGCTTCATTCCCTCTGGACACAACTTACAATAGTTTGGGATATTCAAATTATGACAAAACCTTATTCTCTTGGGACATAAAGACTGCCTCTCCTTGTTTCCCTACCATCTCATCAGTTACTCTTCTGGGTCTCTTGCTGATTTTTTCTCTGAATATGGAAGGTATCAAGGCTTAATCCTCAGTCTTCTTTTTCTCTCTCATCTCTTCCCTAATTAATTGTATCTTATTTTAGCCTTTGAACGTAGGGCATGCCGGGGACTCTCAAATGCATAACTTGAGCTTTGTCCTGCCCATTGAAGCTCTAAACTCCTATATCCAACTTTCTATTTGATATCTCCAGGAGGCTATCTACTGGATATCTAAAACTGAAGCAGGCAAAACAGTACCCTTGATGACTCACACTTCCAAACCAATCTCTGTCTCAAGTTCTCCCCATCTCAGTAAATGGCACCGTCATCCATCTGGTTGCCAAAATCCTCTTCTTTGATTCCTTTTTTTTCCTCTTCCCCTTACCCAGTCTACCACCATGAACTGTTGGCTTTGTCTCCAAAATATATCCCAAATTCATCTGATTCTCACCATATTCACTACCACCCTAGTTCAAACCTTCGTCTTCTTTCTTGGACTACTTTAATAGCTTCTGTAATAAAAGGCAATACTTCCTTTGCCCCTGCATTGGCAACTAGGGCATACAAGAATGACTCAGTATCCCAAATCCTGACCGAGTGCAGTGGCTAATGCCTATAATCCCAGCACTTTGGAAGGCCGAGGTGAGAGGATTGCCTGAGCCCATGGGTTTGAGACCACCCTGGGCAACTTGGTGAGACATCATCTCTACAATAAATCAAAAAACTTAGCCGGGCATGGTGGTGCATGCCTGTAGTTTCAGATACTTGGAATTTCTGAGGCAGAAGGATTGCCTGAGTCGAGTAGGTCAGGGCGGCAGTGGCCGTCAGCATGCCACTGCATTCCAGCCTGGACAATAGAGTAAGATTCCAATTAAAAAAAAAAAAGTATCCTAAATCCTAAAATCAGACACTTTCTCCAAGGTTTGACACAAGGCAACAAAGCCAGGTGCAGTGATGCACACTTGTAGTCCCAGCTACTCTGGAGGCTAAGGCAGACGAATTGCTTGAGACCAGGAACTGGAGGCCAGCCTGAGCAACATAGCAAGAGCTTGCCCCTAAAAAATATATAAGAAAACCGTTCTCTAAATGTACAACTATCATGTACCCATAAATTTTTTAAAAGAGGCAGTAGCACACAACTCACTTCCATCAGCCACCACTCTACTACTTCTATACTCCCATCTCCAGTCTTTAGACAATTAGGGAGAGAAAAGGAGAACATCAAGGCAGCTATTGGTCTTGTGGAAATAGTAGTGTTTGTCATCAGAGACCCCCCACAAACGAACCCTGCCCCACTTTACCCTTGGAAGAGTGGAGGATAGGACATGTTCCTCTCCTAAGTCAAGTGAGGGAACGTTTCAAGAAAACCACTCAAAGAAACCAGGAACTCTGAAAAAAGGGAACATTTAGAAGCCATATAGCATAATGGCTAAGAGAAAGGGCTCTGAGCCTGACTGATTGATTGGGCTTATCTCCCAGTTTCACCACTGTCTAGCTGGGCGACATTGGACAAACCTTGATCAAATCACTTAACCCCTCTGTGTGAGTTCCTCTATCTGTACAAGGAGAAAATAACAATACATATTTCACAGGATTGTTATGAGGGCTAATATGTACTATGTATTGCTACATATGAAGAAATTGGAACAGATCTTGGCACACAATATGTGCAATATAAGTACTAGATTATAATCATTATCATCATCATCTCTATAACTCCTTGTTGAGTTGCAGAAAACTCAAACCCAACCTGCAGCTACCAACTACAATGAAGATTCGAAAAAGTTTCATTCCTAGAAGATGTGCAAGTTCTCCCGGGTTGTAGGCATGTAGGAGCATAAGAATTGCTATGTGTTCATGCCACATAAGGTATGAATGAAAATATCCAGATTTTCTCTAACTTGGAATATGTTGGGAGGGAAAAACACTTGAAAAAAGTATTAGCTTTGTTTGTAAAAGCCTAAAGATGCACCCCTTTTTGATAAAAATCCTCAAACATCTAGGTATAGATGGAACACACCTCAAAACAGTAAGAGCCGTCTACGAGAAACCCACAGCCAGCATACTGCTAAACAGACAGAAATTGAAACTATTTCCCCTGAAGACCGGAACAAGACAAGGATGCCCACTCTCGCCTCTCTTGTTCAACATAATACTGGAAGTTCTAGCTTAATAAGACAAGAGAAGGATATCAAGAGTATCCAAATAGGAAACGAAGAAGTTAAACTATCCTTCTTTGCAGACAACATGATTCTATACCTCTAAAACCCAAAAGAATCTCCTTGCACTGATAAAGGACTTTTGCAAAGTCTCAGGGTACAAAATAAATGTGCAAAAGAGAGTCTCATTCCTATACAACAACAACAAACAGTCAAAAACCCAAATAAAAAGCACAATCCCATTCACAATAGGCACAAAAAAATGAAATACCTTGACATCTTCCTAATCAGAGACATGAAAGAACTTTACAACAAAAACTACAAAACA